AATGTTACTACAACTATACAGATTAAAGTTTTATGAGTTAGAAACTCGAAAGGATAAAATAGTCAAAGATTCAAAGTACAAATTTTTCATATAATGAAACTAATTCATAATTTTTCTCTTTTTACTTGTAATATACACATTTCTAAAATAAATGTATTTTTTGATTGTTCATCGTATTTTCTGTCTTTTTTGTTAGTGCCTTATTTTGCTTTTTTTTGCAATACCTAGTGCCTTTTCCTGCCTTTTTCGCTATTTTTTTTGCCTCTTTTGCAATACCTAGAGCCTTTTCGCTCCTTTTTCGCTATTTTATTTTACCTTTTCCAGCCTATTTCGTTATTTTATATTGCCTTTTTTATAGGTTTTTAGGTCCTAAAAATCCGTTCCCTGGTCATGACATATAATTTTCACAATATTTACTAGTAAAATTATACAATGTTTTTAACAATTACAGTGCCGAAAATTAAAAAAACCAAAATAAAGAAGCGTGTTGTGCTTAAATAATGACTTTTCGTTATTAAATGTCACAACCGATCATAAACAAATTTACAAAATACATCGATTTTTCGCTTTGCTTGAGGCACATCTCTGACTTCCAGGCAAAAGTTGACAGCAAACGTTAACGATAGACTTTGACATTTTGCATAAGCAAATTTCTTAAGCAACATATTTAAAAAATGGCTCATAAAATCGAAAGCGAATTTTATTTTAAATTAATATATGCTGTTCGCGATCGCCCGTGTTTATATGCGAAAACACACCTACATTATTACAACAGAGTTAAACGTAATGAAGCCTGGCAAGAAGTGGGCGCAGCTACGGGCAGGCCAGGTAAAATACATATAATTGAAGTGAGAATCGTTATAGCAGTAGTATGTATATAGCAAGTCCAAAGTAATTTGTTCCCGCAGGAAGTGACTGCAAAGCGCGCTGGAAGTTGTTACGAGAAAGATTCTGTAAGCAAATGAAGAGAGCTGATGGTTATTTTTCGTCTGACACAGACCCGTTTAATGCGCATGAATGGGAATACTATAAGGAACTGCTATTTTTAAAGGAATCTATTGTACCGCGACGGTAAGCTTTTACCTCTTTGCAACTAAAGTTGTGAGTAAATACTTTTACTACTATTATACATATTATACAATTTGCTTGTAGTTCAAGACTTGGTAAGTGCGTACGCTCCAGCTCAGAAGAGCCTGCAATGAATGAAGTATTTATAAACGTAAATGCCATAGCCGAAGAGGACTCCTGCTCGTCACATTCAAGTTATTCAAATTCTTGTGAAATTCCGAACAAAACGTCAAAGTTCGATTTAGCGCCATTGATAATTGAACGTGAAACGGACGCAGATTTAGGCGATTACGATAACCCAGAAAAACTGCAAAACAAAAGCGTTAGTACTAAAAGCAGTACACCGGTTAGTGGTGACACAGACAATACAATCGAAGAATTATTTGTAAAGAATATAGCGAATTTAATACGAGATCTGCCGATAGAAGTGAAGGATCGTTTCCAGGCTGGCATGTATGCGGAAGTGTTCCGTTTACGTGCACAATATCGCAACTTCTAGAATAAGCTATCTTAAACGCACCTACTTCTTTAAAGGCTGCCTTTCATTTTCAACTCGCACTTGCATTCTTAATTAATTTTGTACCTTGACTATATACTGTATATGTATATACTGTTTAACTGAATCATGAAACGAATATTGAATTAATTTGTCTTGGTTGCTCCCAATCATTATTCAAAAACTTATTGATTGAATCATGGTTCCCTGTAACCAAAAACCCACAAGTGTATTTTCATTTACGTTGAGTCTTACATTTTGTAGTACATTTGAATTATTATATTTGAAAGTATATTTACCTTATGTAGATCT